TTTTCTCGATCTCGATCAATAAGAATAATCCAAATCATCTCTTCTTGATCAAAAATTTCAATAGGATTCATATCCGCCAAGCTCCTTTCTGAATATATATTATATTACGACTTGTCGTATTCCATTATCAAATAGATAGGGTTTGGGGTTTAGGGTTTGGGGTTTGGGGTTTGGGTTTGGGGTTTGGGGTTTAGGGTTTAGGATTTAGGGTTTAGGGTTTAGGGTTTAGGGTTTAGGGTTTAGGGTTTAGGGTTTAGGGTTTAGGGTTTAGGGTTTAGGGTTTAGGGTTTAGGGTTTAGGGTTTAGGGTTTAGGGGTTAAGGGGTTAAAGGGTTAAGGGGTTCAGGAGTTAAGGGGTTAAGGAGTTAAGGGGTTAAGGGTTTAGGGAAATCCACCTCGTGGATCTCCAACAGCCGAGTTTGTTGTGTACACATGTCCCGGCCGCTAACTCCACGGCTTCTTTACCAGCCCAACAGAATCTCGAGCTTGCCCCGATTATTTCTACAATACCTAGTACAAAGAGCAGTTCTGATTGTCACTACTACTATTACTGTTGCTTTGTACCAAAAACGGCTCATGCTAAAATTACTATTTCTCCATCACCAAGACGCATGCTGCACTCTTTTCTTATCCTGCTGGCGGCTGAGTCCCCACCCCTCGGTCAAATGCGAACTCCGTCTTGTCCACGAACACGAGCCTGGCAAAAAATAAGCAAAGACGGGCGCCCGCATTGGCTCTGGAAACGTTGCCAACTGTAAGCACGGTGGGCCACACCACCAACTAAAACAGCACACTGACACTCAGTTTGCCCCCACCGAAGGGTAAGAAGATATCATCCGGGCGTGAGGAATTTTGACGCTGAGATACATCGAGCTTGTCTCTTTATGTATTGCATATGTCAGGCATATGCTTTCCCGCTGCCCAGACCTAAAAGCTCAAAAAGACCCAAAAGACCCACTCACATGAACGACTCGCAGCAAAGGTGATGTTTGTTTGCCTCGTTCGATTTTTCTGTGAATTTGACACACCTCCTCTTGAATATCCCTCCACATGGGGCAAGGCGCCGAGTGTGGCCAGCCTAGTATGCCATACGCCCTGCACTCCCAATGGGGAGTGCTCTTAGGGTTTAGGGTTTAGGGTTTAGGGTTTAGGGTTTAGGGTTTAGGGTTTAGGGTTTATATGCAGACATGTCCTGGGCGCAGGTTCCTCAAGCGGCCCGCGGGCTCCTTGAGGTTCACCCGCACCTCGGCAAAGTACTGGCCGCAAAGCTGCCCCACTTCAGAATGCATGTGTGTTTAGACATGTTCGGACGTGGTGAGATGATGAAGAGTCACAAGGACACGGAAGGGCATGGAGCAAAGGATGCATTGAAGGCAGTCTCATCAAAGCCAGGCTTAGAGGGGTGCCGTCAAGCAGGCCGCCAGGCGGTCCTCCGGAATGGTGGTGTCGAACATCTGAGCAGAGACCACGTGCAACGGGTGCGTCTCCGACCTTGTGCAAAATTGCGAATTCTGAACACTTGGTCTCCCTGCGAAGTGATGCTGTTCCGGCTGGATGTAAGGAAACAGCGGCAAGGTCTCAGGAGACACATTCATCAAATGCCGAAGGGTTTAACACAGGGATCTGCTTGACCACTTCGACCGCTTCAGGCGCAAGGCTGTCAGACAAGGTGTCAAGTCTCGTCGTGCCTCATTTTGGAGGGGGGCGGCCACTCCATTCTTGATGGACCTGCCACGGGTATCAGGTTCTGGCAAAACAGGTTTTGATGTGGGCCGGGGATCAATATGCATTGGGCATACGCTCCAAAGCTCTATGGCCTTTACTAAGAATCACAGTTACCCTGGCATGAAGAATCCCCGTTGAGTCAAAGTGCACAGGGATGATCAGAGAGTTATTTGCCTGTAGGCAACAAGAACTTGCCAAATCACCCCAAACGAGTGTTGATGCAGCTGGAAGCAGCTGGGGTACATGTTCGGCGGCTCCGATAGACGCAAGAGCAGGAATGCGAGCACCTGGTCGATGTCTCTCACATGGTGCACATAGCATACCAGTCCCTGCACTCCCAGCCCCCAACAACTCCCTCAACCTCGAGGCGGAATGCGTGGTCCTCGAAAACGGCCACAAGCTGGCAGCACTGAGCGGCAGGACGACACGGTCCTGGGGAAACACACGCTGCAACCGGGATAAGGGGTGGAGAGCACCAAAGAGCAAACACTGGAACCAGGATACTTCTGAAAACAAGAACCCCCTGGTGGTTGCAGAACTCTCAAGAGCAGGTTTCACGCTTCTTTGGCCATCCTTTGGACGCTGCCGGTCAAAACATCTACAACTTCTGACTTCCGCGCGTACCATGTCCTCTGCTCTTCATATTTTCTCTTCAGATTCTTCAAAGTTCCAGCTTCGCTGGACATTTTTTCAAGCCTGAAAAAACACAGCTGCATCACTTACTTTCCGAGCAAGGTTTAGGGGCACAGGTACTATAGGTAATGGGGGTGCGATGCGGACAGGGTTACTTAAGTTCTCATTGCTATGGAGGCTTGGAGGCTTGACAAAGAGCACGTGGAAAAGACGACGCTGCGGCAGAGTTCAGGCAAACATGAACAGCTTCATTAGAAGCGCAGCTTGCAGTGTTGCAACGTTAGATAGAGTGGTGAAAGCTGATGAGGCTGAGACTTCTTGGGAGGCCGAAGAAGTGGAGCCTGAAGAGGTTGAGATTTCATCGGATGTAACGTTGGAGTAGGCTGAGGATGTTGAGCCATCGTCGGGTGTAGTGCTGGCTGATGATGTGCTTGATGTGGTTGAGCCATCGTCGGGCGTAGTGCTGGCTGATGACGTGCTTGATGCGGTGGAGCCATCATTGGGTGGCCTTGGCGGCTCACAGTTCTGGTAGCAAAACTCATAGCGAACCAACCAATTCCCCGGATCTGCGGCATAGGCAATGACTTTGCCGTTGATCACGAGCACGTCGTCGGCAAAGGGCAACATGAATGGGAAGTCTAGCATGGTTTCGGCATGTTCCGACTCACCAGTTGCCTTGACGACCATGAACTCATTCCTTTTGAAGACCTCACGGGACCAAACCTCCCAAAAGAGCACGATTGATCCATTGACGTCTGCGATCTTCACGCGACTTAAAGACTCGTCCAGATCAGTCTTGGAGGTCAGGAAGCTAACGCCACGGTTCGATATGTTCTGCCACTCGCCATTCTCATCGTAAATTCCGCCGTTCTCAACGGCTCCGGGCGAGAGCACGTCTTCACTGGTCAAATCCCGTGGAATCTTGATGAAGCCCAGATTTCCTTCAGACTGCAGAAATGCTTTCTTCACCTGAAACCTGACAACCTTGTTCAAACTCTACAACGTCCGAAAGTTTCTTGCAACCAAACCTGATAAGAACCCACGAACCCGAATGCAAACACGTGTCACCAGCTTCGGCAAGAAAGACACGACATGAGCACGATATGAAGGCACGGCCCAAAGACACAACTCCAACACGTGACATGAGGACACGAAAGGAGGAGACGACACAAACACGAAGACATGACATGAAGACACGCCATGAGGACACGATGCGAAAGGACAACACGACGCGAGGACACGACACGAGGACACGAAACGAGGACACGACACGAGGACACGACACGAGGACACGACATGGGGACACGAGACCAGGACACGACACGAGGACACGACATGAAGACACGACGCGAGGAACCGACAGACAAACATGACACGAGGATACGGCACAAGAATACGACACGAGGATACGACACAAGAGTACGACACGAGGACACGACACAAGGACGCGACACGAGGGCACGACACGAAGACGAAGACACGAAACGAAGACACGACACCAGGACACAACACAAAGATACGACACGACACGAGGACACGACACGAAGACGCGAAGACAAGACACTAGGACACGGCACGAATACAACACACAAACGCACGACACAAAAACACGACACGAAGACACAACACGATGACACGAAATCGGCAAACGACACAAACATACGACACGACACACAGATATGACACGACACAAAGATACCACACAACACGAGGACACGACACGAAGACACGACACACGGACGGGCTACACCCAAAGCCAACAGCCCAACAGCCTTTGATCCTGCCGAGCATCGAGGAGTGTTCATCAGAGCCCCCACTGCAGAATTGTCGAGTGGCCGATCTTCCCCGGCGAAAAACACAAGAACCGTGTTGTTCACCTCATGCAGCCCTGGGTGAGCCAACTCAGTGTAGACCGCGTTGTCATTCTTGCTCCATTGGTAATAGGTCTTCTCTGGCGTGGAAATCTCTTGGTAGACTGGGAGCACCTTGCCTGCGGGATTTGTGTCTGTCACGCGGTGCAAGATCTTGGGTTGATAGATTACCCGGCCTCGTTTGTCTTCTGAGCTGGCCCGATACTCCGAGACCATTATTCCCCGCGGATAAGCATCTCCCAGGATCATTCCCAAGTAGTAATCATCCTTCTCAGATACCTTCAAAGAAGTGGCCCAGGTGTGGCTACCTGCACCGACCCTCCGGAGTTTCTCCAAGGTTGTCGCGTTGAAGATGATGTTTGTAGCTCCTTGGTGGTTCACTCCGTCCCCAAAGTCAATCATCTTCATCGTGAGTGTGATGGAGATGGTATCCTGCAGCCAAACAAGCGAAGCCCCCGAGGAAAAGAAGGAATAGAGGCCCACATCCGCGACGGGAAAAGCTACTCGCTGCAACTCGTTGCCAGCCGCATCGAACTTCACAAGTTCTCCTTGGGAGTTGGCTTTCTGATCACTGGGCTCGCCTTTGTCGCCGAGCAAGAGGACCACGGTTCCAAGGCCATCGCCAACTGCACCGACGAGTTGCACTTCCGCTGGCAGCGCCATCAGGCTGACAGTCTGCGAGGAAAGCAAATCCACTGAGAGCCACGTCAACTTGACGGTGTCGCTGTCCATGTCCTGCCACACGACACCCTCGCGACCATCTGCATGCTGGACCGGGGTGAAGCGCTTGAAGTCCCCGTACACGGTTTTAGAAGTGCTGGGGCTATGGGCCCATTGCCTCTGGGGCAAAAAGGGCTGGCCCGGAACTGCGAACCTGCGGCCCATCAAGCTGAAGCCGCCGTCCGCCCCATCGAGCCATGCCGCCTCCACGTCCCCCTCTTTGGGCCAAATGCTCAGGTGAGCGCTGGAAGGCTGGAGGATGATGATCAACTGGCCTCGCAAGTCGTCCTTCCGAGTCCCCAAGTCGTCGACCGTGATGGGCGTCTGGCTGTAATTGCCGGCATGAACGTCGACGGTGGCCAGCGGGTGGAGCCCACTTGCTTGAAGCGCCCAAACTGTGGTTCTCTGGGTTGTTTTGTGCGTGATGTAAAGAAGGAGCCATCATATAAGAGGATAGTTGAGTCATATAAAAGGATTGTCGAAAAGGCTCGTTTCCAAAGGTATTTTCACCAAGTCACTAAAAGAATAGCAAACACCTATTCGCAAAACAAAGGGGGGGAATTACCCCAAAAATACCAGGTCCTGAAACATACTTGGAGCCCAAGAGTCCCCTAACCCCCTCTTGTGGTTGCCAGCTTATTGGCTCGGAAAAACCTTAAAACTTTGCACCCCAAATCAAACCTTAACCCTCGGAGGCCTTAAGGCCCTTAAGCTCTTAACTCCCTTTCAAACCATACTTACACCCTAAACCCCTTTCAAGCCTTAAGCCCCTTAAGCTGTTAACTCCTTTTGAAACCGTACACTGCACCCCAGCCCCTGAATGCTAAACCCTATGCCCTTTGGAGCCTTAAGCCTCGCAGCTTTTAGCTCCTTTTTCAAACCCGTAAATTAAATAATGCACCCAAAGCCCTGCCTACAGAAAGACAGACCTTAAACCCAGTAGGCTGGCTGCCAGCAAGCTGGCCGCCAGAAAGGCCTAAACACTGCACCCACAACCCTAAACCCTTTAAAACCTTAAAGCCTAAAGCTTTTTACCTCTGTCCTGCATGCACCCTAAACTAACCCGCAATCCTAAGCCTCTAGAAAGACAGACCTGAAGCCCAGCAGGCTGGCTGCCAGCAAGCTGGCTGCCAGAACTTTTTTTCAAGCAGCAGGTCCAGGCCCAGCCGGCTTCTCCTTCTGTCCTTGCAGAAGTTTGTCCTTCTTCTTCTTGTCCTGCCTCACCTTCTCCTTCGCGTTCTTCTTGTCTCTGAGTTTGCGTAGCTTCCACTCAGCCTCTGTCGTTGGCACCAGTTTGCCCTTCAGGTTTGGGTTGCTAGAGGCCGAAGAGCTCGAAAACTCTGTGCTCCCTGTAGTTGTCGCGGCAGCTGCAGAGGGTGTAGGGACAGTGGCTGCAGACTCTGCAGAGTTTGCAGCTGCAGAGCTTGTGGCTGCAAAGTTTGCCGCCGCAGAGTTAGGGGCTGCAGTAGCGACAGCCAGACTCAGACCTGCCTGCAGACCAGCGTTCCAGACCATCTTCATATCATCTTCATGATAGACTGTGGGGGGCGTGACCGGGGACATTTCCTCGTCAGGCGCGGGGCTGACAGGGGACCAGTCTTGCACCTTTTGCTCCTTTCTGTCTGCCATGGCTGCAAGGCAGGCCTACAACGCTAAAGTCTTTGTGTAGGGGCCTGAGTCTTTCACTGCGCGGCCTAAACTTTCTCATGCCTGGTGACGAAGCAGGCCTAGGGTATGGTGATTGTATGCAGTTAGCGTGGTGACTGTATGCTGACTGTCGGTCTGCAGCTAGCACAGCCACTGCGTACTTGCCTACTGTTTTGGCCTGAGAGCTGGACTGGGATAGCAGCACAAAGGAAACTTCAACATGCTTACTGGTGGCATTGCCTGATTGGCAGGACTGAGCTGGCAGATTCTGCTTTGGGGTTTAGAAACAGTACAAGACTGCAGACTACATTTACTTGAGGCTCGCCTGGTGGCCAGCAAGCTGGCCTCCAGTGCTCACCTTGTCTAGCACAGCTGCGAAGCATTAGAATCCTGTCATTTGCTCGTCTTGTTGCTGCTGCTTCCAGCTACCCCAGCAGTGCACAGTCAATGACTGTGACTGGGAACACCACTGCACTCCAAGCGCTCTGTCCAGCAAGCAGAAAGTAAGCAGGCTCAGACGCCTAAGACAATAAGGGGCTGCACTGTTTACTTTCCGTTCGA